GATGCAGAGCTTCAAAGAGCTTGTTCTTTTCATAAATACTTAGATACGCATTGCAAACATGGCCTTGTTGACGGTTTTTTCAGCATGGGCATGGGATGACTCATTTAATCTAGAGGGGCACAACTTGAATGACCAAACGCTTTCGGAGCTAGATGATCAAGAGAGCAAGCAAACCGATCCAACATAGTGACGCTTTATCTTCAAATCCTTGCCTGCCAGGCTTCAGTGCAGCCCTGAGAAAGCTTTCTGGAGTCATTTGCTTGTTAAATGATCCGGACTCAATGCGTGGAGAGTGACCTTGACAAAGGAACAATGTACAAAAGGCGTTTCTAAATTGGTATTGTAGACAGCAAAAATGATGGGTATAGAAAAGAGGCAGATGACTGGCACATGGTGGCTTCTCCAGTCTTACCGGGGAGCTTTTGAGCCACGGTCTCGGGTCCAGGTGGCAGGAGAAGCAGCACGAGCACCAGAAGGCAGCAGATCAGATTCATTTGCAGTTTTTTTGTACCAGATTCATTAGTTCAGCAGCAGCACCTGTTGTGCAGATCACTCCTCATCGCTGGCGGAACCTTCTAGCAGCACGGACGTGCAATCCTTAGATTCGGAGTGTTCCCCCAAGCTGATGATCTCGTCGAACAGGACCCCTGAGCAGCCGAGGCCACGGTGAACGACACAAAGAGATGTTCTAGTTGAAGGTCGGGGATCTGACAGGGCTCGGTGAAGCCACAAACGGCTAAACCGAAAAACAAACTGTTAGGCTCATTGCTTGGACTGAAAGTATCGAGGTCTATTTGGGGAGTAGATGTCGCTTGCCACCATGGCGCATCACGGAAACTACATGGGTATAAGCTATGACCTAAGGCCTCACAAGGTATGCGAAGTGTAGCAAGTCTTTCTGACATCCCAAAACAACACCGCAAGAACCAGGACCTGGTGGTGTAACGGCATGCAATTGACTTGATGTTGACTGTCGATGCTTTAGAGCCCCCCACTGTTGGAGATGTTTGACACGTTGTAGGAATCTCTAATTAAGGAGGTTGTTCATTGACAAGTCATCATGTTGATTTCTTGGTCCTTTGACGACTTGTTCTGAATCTTGGCAACTGCGAGGCCACACCTGGTACTGGGCTGGTGAGTCATGAGACCCATTTCGTTTCACACACGCAGGACAGGACCTTCGTCCTTCTCACCTGGGCCGAACCTTCGAAGAAGAGACTTTTATTGATCCCGCAACTGCTGAATTGGTAGCTGTTGAAGACCTCACAGGTGGTACGGAATTCTTTGCTTCCAGGCTTGCCTTCAGGTAGAAGGTGATGACAAGAGCTTTACACCTCATGGTGACGGGCATGCACAGAGCCGCGCAGAGAAAGGTTGACATCTGCGCTTTACCCTTGTATGAAGTCTGACTCTGAATGTGATGTTCAATAGGAGGTTGTGTTTTGTTAAAGCTGAGAGAGTCCAGCCGCTGCCTTCGGTGATCTGCCGATCGTCTCCGTGTTTCGCACGCGTTGGCATTCCTCACGTTCCTCACTGGGGGTTCGTTGTCGGCATAGCTTTGATCCGGTTGGAAGTCTGTCACCCCAATCGACCATTGAGCTGCTTTGGCTCAACGACTGCCCGCAATGGGGGCCAAAGCAGCTCAGCGAGGCGCCTTCCTCAGTGAGATGGTGAATGAAGCCGTTTTGGCTGCGAATCCAACAAGTTCTTCAAACTGTTTCAACGCTTACCGAAACAAGTGAAACAAGCTTGCATTCGGCTTCAATGATCTCCGACACCAATCGGAACATCTCTGGCACCATGTCTGGCAAAGGGATCTTCAAATTGTTTCAAAGATGTAAGCTCTCACAACAAGGCCAAAAGGAAGCGTGTCCAACTTTTGCTGATTTGGGTCACTTCATTACTACATTATTATTTCATGTCCTTTGCCGACCCTGAGGTGGAGGTCAGCAAGGCGGAGGCAAGTTGAGATGAGTGACAACATGACTATATATGACCATTATTGACAATTTATGATCGTTTTCACCTGCTTTCATCCTTTTCAAACATGATCTATTATATCGTGAGTGATACTATTTATCACAGCTACATCCCATCTCCCACGCCTCGTCTTTTCGTTCCCGCCGGGGCGGCAGGTCCCTGTGTCCGGACCCGTGGTGGCCTCGGGGAGGAGGGGATCGGTGGGGTGCCAAGAGCTTCAGCTGTGACGAAGGAGGCCTTCCAATGCCCGGAGTGGTGGTTGGATATATGTTCAGATCAATGTTGAGTGTAGAGCCTTATAGTAGCGACAACATGGGTTTGAGGGTGGGAACAGGTCAAATGCCTATCAAGCACTGGGTGCTTAATTAGTGCTTGGCATTGCTATATTGCATACATGGCCAGAGAACTCTTTTGATAGCCGGTGTTTTTTGGTGTATGAGAGACACCCGATCGCCGCCGCAATGGGTAGACTGCTCTAACGACAATACACCTTCCAGGGGGTCGACCTAGTTGAGTGACCCGCCTTTCCCACATTCATATTTTGGGAGCTATCCCACATCTAAAGGCGGAGAGCCTCTAGACGGATGTGGAGACCCGCCTTGACATTCCTGACCGTTGCGCGAGTCAAAGAAGAACCCGAGCGTTCATTTGACATAAAGCAGATATTAGACGAATTTACGATACCAGCGCCTTCATTTTCAACAACTACCAAGTCTGTGTTGTGCTTTTTTGGTCCGTCTTGATGCAAAGTCTCAGTTTCACCGTTTGTAGATATGCATAGTCCACCAAATGGCAAAAACGAAACCGCCGGGCGATGGAAGATAGGCCCAGCCCCCACAACGACTGGCGCCCATCTACGCTTTACTGGAACTGCACGATATACATCAATCGGCTTATAGTGCTTTTTCAGATTCATTCGGAACTCGCAGAAACGACCCCGCGGCGGACAGTCGGCAGACGCCCACCTCCCGAGCCAACGACTAAGGGATGGGTGACGGTGGATGGCAGAGGCGGACATGTCGGACACAAGGGACCATTCGTGACTTGGGTGTTTGACCATGGGGTCTTCTTTTCTTAAGCCTTAATGAATTATAAGCTTCGTCAGACGATCGGCAATCGTTTGTTTTGCTTGTGTGGTTGGTCGGAAGATTTGAATAGGTTCGTAGCTGTGGTCTCAGGCAAGCGGACCCTGGCTGCAGTCCAAGAGTTCTATCTTACTATCTTAGGATATCTTAGGAACAGGTTGAGTTAGTAATTACCATCCGGAGTCTAAGGTTCTTTGTCAGTCTTGTTCCAAGTCTATATGTAGTTCAATTAAGCTCCTTGGGGCGACCTTCCGAATGTGCCTTTTAGCTGCTTGATGCTGCTTGCATCTCTTTTGTGTCTTGTAAAGGGCCCAAGGGAACTTCAGCTTTTCTTTGCAGTTCCCTTGACCCAGAAGATTCCCTTCTTTGCAGCTCTTTGCAGTTCCCTTGTTCTTTGCAGGTTCCCTTCTGTGTCTTGCATTCCAAAAGCCGTGGATTTGACCCGGGACTTCTTCCCGAGAGAATCCAAAGAAGGAAAACGGCCTTCGCAAGGTGAGGTGGTTTGTCTCAACTACTGCCAATGAGACAAAGGAATTGGTGTGGAGTGCATGTTGGGCTCTGACCGCAAGTGGATGGGAGATCTTCAGATTGTGAATATATGTCAGGATACCCTGCAACTGCTGGAAGTGGAGTAACCTTCAACAGGTCTAAGTCTTGCAACAGGTCCAAGTCTTCCACTTGTCATGACCTATTCGTTTATAAAGGTTGATTCTGAGAGACCAGCAACAAGTTGAAGGAACCCGCAAACCAAGTGTCGCAGAATCCACTTGTGACCCGGCGTCCTCCTACCATTTCTTTACTGCTTTACGGTCACTTTCGAAAGAAACGCCTGTGTCATGGAAGTGGTGGGGACCCGGAAGCACGGCCCACGATGCTCAGGCCAAGTGCGTCTGTTTAGTCCGCGCCGCCCGCGCGGGCGCGTAGATGAAGTCCGGGGCCGGGCGCGAAGGGTGGCATCCTTCTTGATGATCAATTTTTGTAGATGTCTTGAGACTTTGGACAGTTATTTGCCAGACTTCTCCAGTATCCGGAACCCACCATGCTTTGACACAGCAAGTACCTGGTACCTTTAGCTCGGTATTTGTCTGGCAGGATGTGTTCTATGCTTTGCTCCATGGCCCCGACTTCAGAGGGCATAGTCCCAACCGAAGATGGACAGTCGGCTGGGAAGAATCGACTCGTTTTGGGTCGCCACAGTGGCGGCTGAACAGCAGCCGTCAGTGCGCAGCACGGTCGCTTTTCAAGAGACAAAAAGGCAGAGTGCTTGGGAATTGAGAGCCAACCGATTTCCCCGAGCGTTTCTTTTGGGGAGTTTCTCCTTTAAAATTGAAGCTGCCTTTCCTTCCGGCTGCACACGTTGAAGACACAGGTCCACTGTTCAACTTTCTTTCTTTGTCTTCAGAAACGTACTGACAAACACACAAGCAGTTTGTGTCAAAGTCAGCAAAAGCTTCTTCAAGAGAATGGGGACAGCCACAGGCGTGTGCTATTTGCGGTCGACCAGCCTGTGACACAGGCTTTCATAAGGTCTCAGGTACGATTGTCTTAGCAGATCGTCAGGTTTTCTTGTTGGGTCTTCTTTGGAAAGCTGGGTTGGCAGTAGACCCCTGCCTGGCATTACTCTCATGCTTCACTGAACGAGCCAGCGGCAGCACTGCAGCTACCATTCCCGTCACTGTTCATGCCCTTGCCAACTGCGTTGTCTGGAGGCTCAACGTACAGCCAGCCAGGTGGCAGGTGAAGCCGGCGCTGATGGTCAAGGAATGTGACGGTGGCCAACACCCAGAAATATCGTCCAACATGCGCCCATATATGCATCCATCATCATGATATATGCAATTTTCTGTTGAGTCCTGGCAGAAGACCTTGCTCGAAAAACACCCTTGCTGGAAGCTGTAGTCTACCAAACCGAGTGTTTCAACTCTGATGCTAAGTGTGAAGCCAACGGTCTCGGATTTGCGCTCTCCCTTCCCAACAGCCTGTGAAGCATGGGGAGCTGCATGTGTATGGAGGCTTTCTTCCTGTGGATGAGGGGTTCTGGAGACCGGTTTCCAAAGATTGGATTTCTCTACAGCCAATTCATACTCCAAGTTGGCAGATTTAAGAGGGTCTTCGTCCAAAGTAAGGGCCAAGGGTCTTTCTAGTATGAGGAACCTACACGTTTTGGGTTATACAGGTTTCATCATTTTTTGTGGGTCTTCATAGTCTACAGCTGTATTTTGACAAGCAGCGGATTCCCACCGGAGTCGTTCTCGCAGCCAGCGGGAGTCGTTCTCACAGACATGTGGCACAGTAGGTCAGTAGGGTTGCATATAAAAACCGTGGTGTGACTCAAGTGTATGGGACCTTCAAAGCTGAGAACGTTCGGCGTGTCATGCTATGTTCGAACCCAACGCCCATCCAAACGGACGCGTAGGGCGTAGGCGTGTTTGAATGCAGAAATTTGCACCACGACGCGGCAAGACCGAGTTCGGTTCGCGCCGGATCGTCGCCTGCTGCTCGTCAGGTGGCCGTGTGCCCTGAACCTGAGGCGCGAGATATGACGAAACAGCTGCTGCGAACATCGGATTTCGCGTTGAACTCTTTGGTGTCCACGTGTTGGAGCAACGGTCTGCTCGCGCGCGCGCGCGCGGGCGCTGCGGTCCAGATGCAGCTCACTTTTCAAGACGGGGACGCTTCATCGAAGCCCCTTGAGAAGGCGCGAGGGCTGTTGGCGGGTCGGGAGCGGTTTCCAACCTAAACCATTTTTTTCGGGAGAAATCTCTACCAGTCTTCCAGGCCTTAAGCTTTGTTACGGGTTGCCCATGGGAAACGTGCCGTTGATGTCAGGGATCTCGGTGACGCAATGAGCTTTTTTGAACTGCTATTGCTATAGAACATGTGTTTGAATTTGTTACACATATATCACCTGCGTGTATTTAGTTAGATTAGCGCAGGTGTTTTGTCAACAGGTACGGCAGCTTTAATTGATGCCAGAAATGATTTCCGGAGGCGGAACATGTCACCTTGTTCTGAGAGTGCCAACCACAATGTCTTTGCAACAAGATTTTTCGGAGCCCAAGAATAAGTCCAGACAGGTATTGAGGTTTGTCTCAATGTTGTTAGGGATGTTTGTCCCCGTGGTTGCATAGGTCTTATGTTTGGTTTGGATGGGTTGTGCTCTTGCCAACTAAGTGGGAGCCAATTGGAGCCGGCCACTTGAGGCTGGCGACTCATGTCGGGCGCTCAAAGCACTAGGAAAGCGGTGTATCTTGTGGCCCTGAGCTGCTATGTATATAAAGGATGTAAAGCGTGCGGCGCCAGTAAAGAGATAAAAAATCCCGCACATCCTCTAAGATTTGGTTTCTTTCTTCGCCAGCTGCAAGAACCCAGCCTCAGGGAATAGATGCGTTGAGTTGGGAGCAATGGCCATCATTTCACCTTGAGGTGCTCCAAAAACCATCGGTTGAGCTCCCTAAAGACTTGGCAAGCGTAGAAACGACGTACTTGGGGGAATCCAATGGAGACGGGGGTTTGGAGGAGTATGTTGCAAGTGAAAATCTGCGCCCTTGCTGTTGAATGTTTGGTGAGGCTCTTCATATATGTTCAACGGAATTTAATGTCAACGTAAGACTTATAATGAACATCCCCTGATTAACATCCCCTGATTAATCCAACGCGAGCCCCCAATACTAAACTAGTTTGAATCATAAATTTCCACATTGACACCCCCAATGGTCTACGTACTCGTGTTTAAAGATGATAACCGCGCCTCGTTTTCCGCAGATTCTCGGCTTCAGCTGTGGCATGGGCGAAGTGCACGACTGGCGCCACTGCCGGTGCCAGTTGCGCTTGAGCTGCCAGCGGCTGTTGCTGCTGATCTACAACGAGCGTCTTGGCGCTGAGTTCTCACGAGAGTGTGTGAGACGGTGACGTGAAGAGTGAAGAGGATACCAGGTCTGCAGAGAAGAAAGTGAAGGACGAGGGCGAGGAGGTTGACCAAAAGGCACTCGCAGGAGATGCCCACCCGGAGGGAGAGAAGCCCCGAACTCCCGAGGAAAGTCCCGGTCGAGATCCCGTCGCCGTCGCAGAAGATCATCCGAAAGAAAAGAAAGCAAGAGAGAGAGAAGCCATAGCCGTGGGAGAGGCCGCTGCTCCCGAAGCCACGTCCGTGAAAAGAGCCGTAGGAAGAGTTCCAAGCCAGCTGATCGAGTTCCTGAACACAAAGGTCCTCAAGGAGATCGCAGTGGTTCCGCCCCCAGTGCACCGCCCCCAAAGGCGCCACCAAAGCCTTCCCAATTCAACCCAGTGGCACGCCGAGCAGCTCCTCCACCACCCTTTAGAGAGACCTCCCGTGCAGACCAGGGGGGAGACAGGAAGGACAGAGATCGAGAGCCGCCACGGAGGGCGCCCAGCGAGCCTGACCACCCACCTCCGAACCACCAGGGCAACCGAAGCTGGTCCTCCTATTGTGCGTATCCCAAGTCGCAAGGCAGACGACAAGGACCGTTTCGATACCGTGCCCCACATGAGGAGCCAACCCCTTCGAAAGGGAAGACCAAGAGAGAAAAGAACCTCAACTATAGGTTGTGGAACGAGTACGACCGAACACATCGTTGGAGGCCATGGCGCCGAAGGTCATCACAAGGCCTGCCGCCGTAGTGAGAGCTCCCACGTTGAGACGGAGAAGCAGAGGGGAGGTATTGAGGAGGCCTGCAGCGAGAGGGGATGCAGAGGATGTGGAGGAGGTGGCTGGCCTGGGCAAACCCGCAAAAATCGTGCCAAATGGGAGGGTTGCCCAAACGAAGTGGATGGACGTTCCGGAGCTGACATTGGAGTAGATTGGCAAGCTGAACAAGGTGGTAGTCGAAGGCAGCTATTGGGAGGCTCCGTGCAGGATCGCAGGTGTGATGAGAGGCCTGAACTTCAACGGAGGAGACCGGAGGTTGAAGGTCTATGTGGCAGGGACACAAACAGAGAGCCTAATGCTGCGAAATGGAGGTACACTTGTGTGGCCGGCCGTGCGAAAGCAAGGTGTGGAACAACTGCCTGATACACGGGGAGCGTGTCAAGAGAGTGTCAAAAGCACACCCGTGAGGATGCTGCAGGAAGCCTTGCCCGAGGACACAAAGGGGCTTCGATGTCTCAGAATGGGGGGAGCCTGGCCGACCGAGCCCCTCCCGTTGGCAGACGTGAGTCGGAGACCGGGCGCAGCTCAGTTTCACCAAGCACGATGTTACAGGCGATGTGCGCGGCATCGGAACTATTCTTGAGAACATGGAGGAGGTGCGCGCGCAGAACACGGCAATGGATTCCCTAGTCTCATGCAGTGATAGTATATTCCCACTTCCATTGCCCCTTTGCCGCCTGGAAGGGCACTTGAGCGTGTGATCTGGCCTGAACCAGGGCGAGGACCGTCGCCCACAAGACAGCCGGGTGGACTTGCAGAAAATTTGGGCAAGTTATGTGATCGGTTCGACGTTTGGGACAAGACCCATGAACCAGTGGACTTCAATTCCTTCTTCAGTAAGTGAGGGGTCAGCTATGACGGTGAGGAGGTTCGTTTGGCACAGACCTTGAGTTGGGAAGCCATCAAGAACTCTCTTCCGGAACAAGTAGGACAGTTGGACTTGTTGGACTTTTGCACCGAGGGCACCCGTCACTACATCAACCATATCGAAGAGTTCATGGTCCCCACCGAACACATAGTTCCCCCATTGAAGAGCTCTTCCACGTCGGTCAGGTGCCATTGATGAATGGGTTGTTCGGTGTTGGAAAGGGAGAGTTTGTGGGCGCGTTGGAAACTCAGAGATTAATTATGAATCAAATACCGTTCAACAACCTATGCGAACCTCTTGTGGGGGAGGTGGCCACCCTCCCGTCTGTGGCATCTTTTCAGAGCTTTTTGAGGGGGAAGTAGCACTTCTAAGTTCAGAGGACGTGAGCTCCTTCTTTTATTTGTTCCAGGTTCCAGTCCACTGGAGGAAATACCTAGGATTCAACCGAGAAGTAGATGAGTCGATGGTTCCGCCAAAGTGGAAAGGCAGGCGCTGTGTATTGGTTTCGCGTGTTCTCCCTATGGGATTTCTAAACAGCGTCTCCATCGCACAGCATGTGCACCGCAACGTTGTTAAGTGGAGCCAACTATCTCACCCCCAGGGCTTAGGTGGAGAGGCCGAGATGCGCCGTGATAGGGTTGGTTCTTCTTCGAATTGCCTGTACCGCGTGTACCTGGACAATTTCGACTTGTTAGAACGCCACAGGAAGCATCAGGCTGAGGCCATCAAAGGTTCCGTAGCGGAGGCAGTGCAGGCGCTCAGGGAGGAGTATGAACGCAGAGGGCTTCCCAGACACCCAAAGAAATCAACGGAGAGGGCCCTCAAGGCCGAGATCCAAGGAGCCATTGTGGACGGCGTTCAGGGCTTTGCTATGCCTAAAGCGGAAAAGGTCTTCCTCTATGTTTCCTTCAACCTTTGTCTCGTCCGTCGAAAGAGGTGCACATTGAAGGAACTACAGGTCGTCTGCGGAGGCTTCGTCTGCTTCTGTATGTTTAGGCGCCCTCTACTGACTGTGCGCTCTCAATGAGGTGTGGAAGTTCATGGAGCGGCTGAAAAAACTTCCCCCTGTGATCCGACTGCCGCTGCCAGATTCGGTGGCTAAGGAACTACTAAGGTTCATTCTTCTGTGTCCACTGGCCCAAATGAGTTTCAAGCTGCCCATTGCAGAGCACATCACTTGCAGTGACGCTTCAACACAAGGAGGCGGTTTCTGTGTGAGCGAGGGCTCACGGGTTACGGTGTGGCGGCATTGAATGCTGAGGTGCGCGGAGACATTCCTGAAGAGGGGAGCGTCGCACAGATCCTCACAGTAGGACTTTTCGATGGTCTTGGAGCTTTGAGGTTGGCGGTGGACGCCTTAGGGATCCCTGTGGCAGGTCATTTGAGCGTGGAGAAGGAGGAATCGGCTCGTCGCGTTGTTGAGTCGTACTTCGGACGCCGTCTTCCATGATGATGTCCAGACGATTGATGAACAGTTGGTTCGTTCTCTCAGCCTCCGTTTCCCCTCTTTTGGAGTTGTGCTTATTGGGGCGGGGCGACCCTGCCAAGGTGTGAGCGGGCTCAATGCCAGTCGCAAAGGCGCTTTGCTGGACGCACGCAGCTGTCTTTTCAAGGATGTGTCGCGCATCAGGGACTTGTTCAGGAAGGCCTTCTCGTGGGCACAGGTGCACCTACTCATGGAGTCAGTCGCATCGAACCAGGACCGTGAGTTGATGAGCCAGGAGGTAGGATTGCAAGCCTATTTCATCGATTGTGCAGGGATCACCCTCTGTCATCGACCTCGGTTGTATTGGACTAGTTGGGAGATCTCTTCGCAAGAAGGGGCCATGGTCAGCCATCCAGCAGACGCCAGTTGGGGTAGTACGGGTGCAGTTGAGTTGCAGGCGACAGTGCATGAAAATGAGTTGCTGGAGCTGGGTTGAAGGTTTTAGGCTCCCTACATTCACCACATCGAGGCCGCGTGAACTGCCGGGGAGACGGCCTGCCGGGTTGGACCGTTGCTCACCTCATGAACGGGAACGTTGGGAGCAAGATGCGTATCGCTTCCCGCCCTACCAATATCGTGATCACCATCTAAGTTGGAGTAGGAAAAGGGCGACGGAAGGCTGGCCAACATCTCGGAGCGAGAAGCTTGCGTGGGCATCCCTGTCACACGACCGTGTGTGAACAAGCAGTTGCAGAAGGGAGCCGCCTGGCTGGACATACGCCTCACATTGGTGGGAAACTCCTGGCAGGTAGGAGTCATTGCGTGGCTAGTGCATCAGTTGGCCTTGAAGCTGGGACTATATGTCAACCCCGGTCAGTTCAAGATATTGTGGATGCTCTCACTCGCGGCCGAGACAGTCATGCCAAGAAGTACCTCTTCTGCGCAAACTCCTTGGTCTTGTCTCAATTAAAGGGGAAGATCTCATGGTGCAAAGTGCGACAGAACCTCAGGTTAAGTTCCATAGACTGCGAACCAGTGTTCCAGCGCGGCTGTGGAAGTGGCGAGAGGTCGCAGGCTGGAGTTGGAAGCGTGCTGGGTAGCACATCAACCTCCTGCAAATGCGAGCTGTGCTTACCAGTATGCGTTGTGGCTTGTTCAGCGTCGAGGGGTCTCGAATTGTCGTTTGCTTCATCGACAGTTTGGTGTGCTTGCTCTGTCGCGTGGTCGCTCTTCTAGTAGGAAGTTTCGAGCTGTGTTGGTCAAGGTGAACTCTCTTCTTCTTGCAGCGGATCTTCACCCCTGTTGGGGGTACGCGCGCGCAAGCCAGAACCCGGCTGACCGGCCTAGCCGGCGGCCGCTCCGTCGCAAAGGAAAGTAAAGGTTCATGTGGAAGGGACTTGAAAAGAATTAACCATACAGCCAAAGACTCGCAAGCGTTACCAAGCTGCTAGAGAGAAGTTTTATGCCTACCTTAGACATAATAACCACCTTGAGTTGCCGAAAGCCGTGGGCGCCTTTGATGACATGCTGTCCGACTACATTGAACACCTGTGGGCCTCTGGAGAGGGGCGTGCCCTGGCCAGTGACACTGTCGCTGCCCTGCAAGACGCTGAGCCACACTTAAAGGGGAAGTTGCAATTCACCTGGCGACTTTTAAAGACATGACGCATGAATGAAATACCAAATCGGGTTCCACCCTTGCCCAAAGCGGCCCTCAATGCCATGCTGGGTTGGTGCTTGTTCCACGAGCGCTATGCTTTTGGTGCCTCCCTTCTTCTGGGGTTTTATGGTCTGCTGCGACCGGGGGAGCTTCTTAGTATCTGCAACCACCATATGTTTATGACTGCTCCCCCAGCCAGCGGTAGTCTCATTGGGCCTGACCAAAGGTGGGAAACGTACAGGTGCGTCTGAAAGTGTGACTGTCACAGTTAGCGTTGTGTTAGCCTGGCTCTGGGCTTGGAAGAAAGCCTGCTTCACAAAGTGCTTCGCCTGCCACGAAATCTGCACATGGCGGTTCACAAAGTGCTGTGCCTGCCACGAAATCTGCGCATGGAGGTTCACAAAGTGCTGTGCCCGCCACGAAATCTGCACATGGAGGTTCACAAAGTGCTGCACCTGCCACGAATTCTGCACATGGAGGTTCACCAAGTGCTGCGCCTGCCACGACATCTGCACATGGAGGTTCACTGAAAGCGCTGCACCTGCCACGAAATCTGCGCATGGAGGTTCACAAAGTGCTGTGCCTGCCACGAAATCTGCACATGGAGGTTCGCAAAGTGCTGTGCCTGCCACGAAATCTGCACCTTGAGGTTCACAAAGTGCTGCGTCTGCCACGAATTCTGCACATGGAGGTTAAGTGCTGCGCCTGCCACGACATCTGCGCATGGACTTTCACAAAGCGCTGCACCTGCCACGAAGTCTGCGCATGGAGGTTCACAAAGTGCTGTGCCTGCCACGAAATCGGCGCACGGAGGTTCACAAACTGCTGCGCCTGCCACGAAATCTGCACCTCGAGGTTCGCAAAGTGCTGTGCCTGCCACGAAATCTGCGCATGGAGGTTCACAAAATGCTGTGCCTGCCACGAAGTCTGCGCCTCGAGGTTCACACAGTGCTGTGCTGCGCCTGCCACGAAATCTGCAAAGTGCTGCGCCTGCTACGAAATCTGCACATTGGAGGCTCACAAAGCGCTGTGCCTGCCACGAAATCTGCGCATGGAGGTTCACAAAGTGCTGCGCCTGCCACGAAATCTGCACATTGGAGGCTCACAAAGCGCTGTGCCTGCCACGAAATCTGCGCATGGAGGTTCACAAAGTGCTGTGCCTGCAACGCAATCTGCAGTTCACGCAGTGCTGTGCCTGCCACGAAATCTGCGCGTGAAATCTGCACTGCACCTGCCACGAAATCTGCACATGGAGGTTCACAAAGTGCTGTGCCTGCCACGAAAGCTGCGCGTGGAGGTTCACAAAGTGCTGTGCCTGCCACGAAATCTGCACTTCAAGAAACAAGTGAAAACTCTAATCGCAATGGAGGGACGATTCCGACCATGATCCGACCATGATCCGACCATGGCCCGAGACCGTCTCGCAACCGTCGTTCCGCGCACCTCGAGGTTCACACCGTGCTGTGCCTGCCACGAAATCTGCGCATGGAGGTTCACAAAGTGCTTTGCCTGCCACGGCGTTGGCGCTCGTGCCAGCTATGCAGAGGTGCGCATGATGTGCCTGTTCAAGCTGCTTTTGTCTCTTTCAATGGACATCTCTGAACACCCGGTCACAAGTCCGTTCCACGGGCGTCCACCAAACCCGGACCCCAGACTCACACTGCATCAAGCTTTGCGCCATTGAATGGATGCCAGGTCTACCCCATCGAGCTGGATGCGAAAGCCTCAGATGAAGACTTATGCATTCTTAAAAAAAGAACCTACGCAGAGGCTGCGTGTGAAGTGCGAGGTTGTGCAAGGTTGTCTTGGACATTGAAGAGCATTCTGAGTCACAAAGGAATGGTTTGGAGTCTCTAAGTGGGTGAATAGTTGGTTTGGTTAATCAAGTTAGCTTCTTTTTGCTAGTAGTAATGGCCTCCAACCTAGTAGCTTCATAGAAACACCCCAGTAAGTTAACACTTACTCATTTCGGCAGGGCCTACTCAAACCTGTCTAAGACCTCCACCATCGGGCACAGAGATGAACATCCCCCGGCATGTCGACCAAGCGCTGTAGGCCATGCAACTGGAGAGCTTTGCGAAGCTGGAGCGAGAGGTGGTGCCTTAGTGGCCGATTGTCCATGAAGATTCCGTTCGAGGGAGTGGGAGTGGCACGAAGTCGAAAATCATTGCGCATTCTTATGAAAAAGAATGCAGGCTTCAATGAATGGTGGATTTTCTCGCCTTGGTGGCACAAGAGATACAAACATGTATAAACGCGCTAGCTTCGCAAGGTGGAACAATCCGACATGGAGCAACCGTCAATGCGGAGTGGCCCCAATATGCAAGAAAGAATGCCAAAATACCAAACGCCTGTCAGATTGAAATGTCATGGTGGGGATCACTCGAAGTATTTTCATGTTCAGTCCTTATTGGAAAAGAAGGGTAGTTAAGGGGAAGGCAGCAAAAACGCCCAGAATTCTTACACCCGATACAGTACTTGGGCTCTCAGGATTCGATCAATCCAAAGCAAACTCACCTTGCGCTGGGTTCTCCACTGAGTTCACCTACTGGTGCGCTGGAAGGACTTTTTCCGAGGCGTTCGAGTTTACCACATGCTTTGGCCCGCATTGTTTGTTGCGATGACTTTGTTACAAGAATAGGGCCAGGAAATCATGTCCTTGACAACAGTTCATGATCGTACCATCTCGCGCCAGTTTTAGATGAAGGACTTGAGCAATGAATTTCCCTCGCAGATGATGTGCCGGTCGCGTGTTATCCCTTGTTGCAGCAGTGTTCCAAGACGGCGCCCTCTCTTTCCCTCCAGACGCTTGAGCAAGAGGCCTAGGGCCCCGAGGGCAAGAGTTCCTCCGCGCTGGAAGTGCAAAACCACTGCGCGTACATGGTGGTTATTTGAAGATTAATTAACGTTGACGTCGAATCAATCAGGTGAACAACGTTTGAGATTGGAGGTATTGGAGACCACCATCCCCCTAATAAAGGTGATGGCCTGATGATGGATGATGGTTGATAGGATTCTATGTGAGCACTGAGAGCCTGTGTGGGGGGTAGTAAAATAAGAATGTTGCTTGAGGGCTTCAGTGGAACAAAGGTTTCTCGGGTGAACATTGGCAGCTTACAATATACTAATGAACAATTTTCTATTTTCTGGTTGTTTGTGCCCAAGAAGGGGACGTCAATGTGGAAACTTAGGCTTTAAATTAGTTCAGTACTGAGGGCCCGAGCTGGGCTGGATGAAAAAGGGGAAGTTCGTTAACCCTGGGTGCACTATGGAGATAGGTTCCGTTCATTTGATTCTTTGCCATCTCGAGAGTCTGTTTAATATGTTTTTTTTGCCGGCAGGGGCAGGCTTGGAGAAATCAAATGAAGCCCGATGAATGCCACGCATGGGCATGGTCTCTCTTCTCCACTTCTCGAGATTGTCAGCGAGGGACAGTCAGCAAAGGCCAGTCTTTGTTTCTCGGACCTGAACTGTCTCGGTGCAGATGATTCGCCTTGGCCACGATTTTCCAAGGCCACAATTTTCGGTGCAGACGCGGTGACAAGAATGTCGTGGCCCAAGTGGTGGGGGCACAGGTGGACCACTGCCAACATCGGGTGGGTGGGTGCTGGCATCAATGATGAAAGAAAAACAAACTAGTGTTGGACAAACGCAATAAAGCAGCATTTTATATGTTTCGTGTTGTTTTGAAGGAACCTTTCAAATTCAACGTGTCAATGTTTTCTATATATTGAATAGTGACACTCATGCGTGCCCACTGCTCCATTGGGTCCACAGGACTGAAACGTGGTTGGATCCACCTGTGCAGCTGTGTGGGGAGACTCTTGTTTGCATGCTGTTTCTTTCCAAATGGCATGAAATTCCAACCGTTTCGTTCCATAAGTTGCTTTCCTGGCTCTGGAAGCTGCTTAGCCCCCTAAGAGGCTTTTGTTCCAATGGTCGACTCAGAATGATGGCTCAGGCAGCCCTTCCGCACGCAGGGTTCCCCAGCAGCTGCGTGGGTGTGTTGATGGAGTAGAATGAATTTTCTTCGGTTTTCAAGAGATTTTGATTCACCCTGAATGGAGTTCCAAAAACCTGTCAGATTGTGGCCTAACAAGCAAAGTTGTGGCCACCGGATTCCATCTGCCGAATTTCCTCCATTTGGTGTTTCCGGCGCCCTTTTTTGGGCGAGCTGTTTTCGAGGTTGAACAAGTCCCAGTGATTCAACTGAAGCCCTCCTCTTCCAGCCAGGTCGACGTGGCCGAGCGCAAGCCGGCGAGGCAAGGGCTGCTGTGTGATTCTCCCCCCCGCAAGTGGCAGAGGGTCTTCCGTTTACAAAGCCGATGCTGCCACGTGGCCGATGCCGCCGATGCCGGCGCGGTCTGTGCGGCTCGAGTATGAGGGTGGATGGATCTGGAGTAGAAAGGGTCTTTTGTCTCGTCCGGCGGGTCATCCAACGAGTTGTGGAGTTGTCCTCCGTGGTGAAAGCGATCTTTTGCCCAATGCCTGGGTGGGGTTTCACGCGTTCGAGGTCTTTTTGGTCGCAAGAGGGGACCATGATTCTGAGGCCACCATCGGTCGCCGTGCTTGGAGCCCAGTGACGGGTTTGGCTTTCCTTGCAACTGTTCCTTTTTTAAAACGAGGTTCACACACGTTCAAGCCGTGCTAAGTGCAGCTTGGGGGAGGGAGACGCATGGAGAGGTGTTCTGAGGACTTTACTAACCGGTTTAACTTGAGTTTGATTGTGGGTTTGTTTGCTGACGTGAATGATTCAAGCGAAGCCGATGTCGAACATGGCACAAGTCTATCGCTTTACAAAGCATATTCAGTGACTACTTAGCTTGTGGTGACCGCTTCGCTCGTGGTTTTGCCGTGGATGCCACAGTGCTTTGCATCCACTCGTGGCTGGAGAAGCTGCAAAGCTGTTCTTGTTCGCAGGTGTTGTGGAGCTTGTGGAAGCTCCTTCCTGAAAAAATGTCCTCATGACTCACCCAACGGCTGCGGATAAGTTTGTCAAAGATACCACGCCTTTGGTTCTGGTGATACGACGATCTTTGGAGCTTCTGCAGCGTTGGTGATGTAGGGATGCAACGGTCAATGCGCTAGCGTGACATTCCCTTTGGATAGAAAGTCAGGGAAGCAGTTCTTTCCATGATCTTCTGGCACAAAAGCCAAATCCGCAACTTCCGGGCTTGGAAAGAGCTGAAGCAACTTCTTTCAAATGCACGCCTGTCCTTATCTTGTGCTGTAGTGCACTCCAAAAACAGGAGGACGTAAGGATATATGAGCAGCCGCTTCTATTTGGTGTTGACTAAAGTAATCTGAACTACGACAGGCTCTATTTGTTTGTCCAACACCAGTATTTGCTGGTGGACGAGATAGGGCCCCCAAATAAATGAGATACTTTTGCTTGATGTCACTAAAGTAGTCTGAACCAGATACTGTGACATGACCTCCTACTAAGGTGGTTTAAACGAGATAGGGCCCCAACCCAATAGATGGTGCAATTGAGTTTATGCCGCCGCTTATATGTATGCGTATCCGAAGGGAAGGGAATTCAACCCAGAATCGTGGTCTTTGTGGGAGAGCAGTCAACTTTCTCTATGGCTGCTGTAGATTGTAGTGTGACAGCACAGTTCTACCAGATCCACTTCGACCCAATAGAAGAACCGAAAAAGAGACCTGTCAACCCGGTCGGGCTGGTGAGATATTCAACATACACATCCCCTCCGTGGGTCTAAAGGTCGAGACTTCTCCTTCGGTTCCTCCGAGGTTTTGTTTCAACTCGGGCTGGGGTGCTCCAACCCGGCGCCCGGAGGCACCAAACTGTGACACGCAATTCATCAAAACGCCAGGGAAGAGTTTGATTTGGAGATTTGCAGATGTTTGCAGTAAATCAGAGAGAGGCCCGCCCCTGCAACCGTCCTAGGTGGTTGACCAGGGTCTGTCCAGGGTGGTTGACCACACTTGGTTCTGAGTAAATGCACGGTGATTTGGGGGGTCCATTGCGAAGTGTGTTGGCGATGGCGATAACCTAATCTAGTTGCAACCTCCCAATGCACCGTTCGAGCGCTGAAGTGGAACGCCATGTGTTTCTTGCCCCACTGCAATGGGACGTTTTTGAACCTTGCTTGGTTATGGGCGGGAAGAAAAAGAAAACTTGAGGTGATGATGAGAGCTGTTTGGCATGATTGCCAAGAGGACCTACCTTGAGTTAACAAACATCGGTACCCCCAATTTCTGTGATTTGCTTGACTTTGATGGACAGGTGGTCACGCCACGGTTTGGCGCGCCTTGGAAACAATAGCTGGGTGGGACAGGCCACTGTCTGTCTCTAAGTTGGAGGCCATCGCTTCTAGGCGGTTTGCTTGTTAAGGGATTGGCATTTTGAGTGAGGACAGGCATGTCACATCTGGGGGGAGGGGGGTAGTGATGTGGAGATGACCTGTTTTCATTTTTTGTCCTTGTTCGGGGTGTTGGCATCTTCATGCAACGTCCAACTACGTATGGGTTTCAAGCGCCTCTGTGTTTTGCTACGTCAAGTGCCTCTGAGATACCAAGAGCAATTCACCCTCTCGGCGTGGAACAACTTCGGAAAAGAGAGAGAACGAGAGAAAGACAAGGGAAGTGGGTGGAAAGAATATTGTTTTTTCACACGCGAATGTATTCATCATTCTTTGGGAAACCCCTCTGCTGGGGTCTGTCGTGGTCTGTCAGTTTTCATTGGGCTCTGAGGCTTACCAGCCGGAGCACAAAGAGGCAGGCTTCGACAATGCCATCGCAAGTCACTGCAGTGAACCTTCAGAATTTCTGGTGATTTTACAATCATTCTACATAGCTAATGTTTTTTCCTCTGCTCAGGGATGTCCTTGATGACCTTGATGAGACATATTTTCTACTTCCACGATGTTGATGGCAGCCTTTTTCTAGAATGGCAAGCGTGCTGCCAAATGGTGAAGATAGGTGTGTTCTATTTGGTCGCTGTTGGTGCGACGGGAACCTGTGATGTGTTCTTTAGATGCCAACGGGCTGCGAACAGACTAGTCAGACTTAATCGTTTGCTGCCCAACTTGCATCCGGCTTGGGTTTGAGAGGAAGCATGCTCTGAGGCGACGTAGCTATTTTGCAGAATAGGCGTGTATCCAGAAACTGTCTGCCAAAGGCGTCCCTTTGCTACGCTAAGTCGAGGCTCCTGGCATGGCATCTCCTCTGGGGCTTCCAGAGGCTGGAGCCCAAGTCACGGTGGCAGGGAAGTTCGTGGGCCAAGAGGAGAGTGTCACTATAGGGGCACCATACTCGAACTTAAAAACTGTCGATCAAATCATTTGAAGAACCCAACCGTTTGAGGGTTACCAAAGAGGCGATTTTGTGGTGTTTCTTCTGTCCAGAATGATCCATGTCCTTCCAAAAAAGAGCCGAAATCACGGGGGGTAAAAAGAAACGGGTACCTGTACCCCGTGCCTTGCCATTGGCACCAGCTCAACCCTCGAAGTCCTCTTCCGTGGATTCCGCGTTGGGTCGAAGGAGATGATGTGGCCGTTGCGGAAGCAAGGCCCGCTGGTCACGTCGATGGTCGACGGAGTCGATGGGTCGTCGGGCTGAAGAACTCGGTGTTTGTAAGGTGTTAAGGGCCACGAGGTTTTTGGGGCCAGGTGACATTTTTGGGGTTTCGATCGAGGTTCAAGCAAGGGTGTGTTGTGCTCGATCTTGCCTGTTGGGTGTGCCTTCCACCATTTGAGTGCCATGTGCTGCGAATGCTTCACAAAAGTTCGGTGGCGCGGATCATTTGTCAATATATTTGGGTCTCGAACATATGGGGAAGCATTCCAGCCCGATGGCTAGCATGCTATAGTATAAAGCACTCGTGCGGACAGTCAAGCCACTTCAGTGCTGAGTGCAATGCCACCGGTTCAGAGAACAACAACTACACTACGCCCCAAAAGATCACTGGATAATAGTGAACTTCAAGGCTATAAAGGAAAAACTAATAGCCTTGGAGGCCGTCGCTATTAAGTTGGAAGTTGGAGGCCATCACTATTAGGCTAAGTTAGCTTCTTTTTTTGATCTATTTCTTAAAATCTCACTGGACCTTTAAACCCTCCCTGGGGTCAAAACACATGAGCTCCGCCTCTTGGCAGGCAGCGCTTCATCAGTGAGCACCGTGGCCACTGAGCGGTGTCCTCGGTGGAGTGGCGCGTGGTGTGGAGGGTGACTTTTTCCCAACAGGTCAAGTGAGTCATCGCTTTGTAGTGCTAATATACTGTAGATTCAGGAATATTAAGCAATAAACAGGAATGCTAAGCCATAGAATCCTATGGCATCTTTTTGCTTAGAACATGCTGATCACTTTTGCCCATTGTTTCAGGAATGTGAGGGTGAGCCCCCTCTCAGTCTTTAGATATGTTTGGATGCAGCGATGCCCTTACTCCATCCTTTCCTTGCATAAGTAAGAGAAATGCTCTTACCTTTGATCTGACAACAAGCAGTTAACAGACCAACTCTGATAGCATCGGATATCGACTTCCAACAACTGCCAAGTCATTTCCATGCTTTTGTGCTGGTCAATTTTTTTTAATGCAAAGTCTCAATTTCACCGTTCTATATATAGAAAACGAAGCCAGCAGCCAACTTCCGAAGATAAGCCCAGCCCCCACAATGACTGTGCACGAGCGCACGAGTGCACGGTACTAGAACTAATGGTACGAGGCTTTGCGCTTTCCAGATTCATGCAGAACTTGCAAGTTGACAGTGAAGAAACTTACAAGAAGCTTAGTTTCTACTGTTGACTGTTAACTGTTTCTACTAAGTTCTAAGTTAACTGCTTAGCACTTCTACTGTGAACTGTTAACTTCTGGTAGTTTCTTCTTCCTGAGCTTTTTCTGACACAGACATGCGTGAGCAAATGACCCTCAGTGGACCCAAAATAACAAAGCTTCGGCAAAGTATGCATGTGGCCTCACAAAGTATGCGTAACAAAGTCTCCGGGTTGATATGCATGTGGCCTCTTAGGCAGATGTTCACACTGCGACCTATTCAACAGACTAAGGGACTGGTGACCGTGATTGGCAGAGGCAGGATGTGTCGGACAGAAAGAGATTGTGGGTGATTTGGGTGTTTGACAATGGGGGGTCTTCTTTTCTTAGGCCTTCAGCTCCGTCACACGGTGATTTTTCGGTGCTGAAAGTGTTTCTTCAGTCAAAGCACGGCCAACGATGCTCAGCCCACGATGCTCAGGCCAATTGCGTCTGTTTAGTCCCCGCCGCCCGTGCGGGCGCGTAGATGAAGTCCGGGGCCGGGCGCGAACGGTGGCATCCTTCTTGATGATCAATTTTTGTAGATGTCTTGAGACTTTGGACAGTTAATTTGCATTGCTTTGACACAGCAAGTACCTGGTACCATTAGCTCGGTAGTCTGACAGGAGGTGTTCTATGCTTACTTGATGCACCTTTGCTCCATGGCCCCGACTTCAGAGGGCATAGCCCCAACCGAAGATGGACAGTCGGCTGGGCCGCCCAAGCCAAATGCCAACGTAGAAGAATCGACCCGTTTTGGGTTGCCGCATGACGGCTGAACAGCAGCCATCAGTGCACTTCACAGTCGCTTTAAAGAGTTTAAACGTTTCCCCGTGCGGAGCGTTTTGGTTGAGGAGTTCGGAAGGTACGTCAGGTACATCCGGTGAAGCCAAAGCATGCACATGCAGGGTCAGCCTTGGGTGCGTTCCCCCAATCATGCAGGTCTCACGCTTGATGGTGGCAAGACAGTGATACAACAAGAAGAATCCAGGTTCTCCAGCAACAAGGCTTGAACGTTCTGGTTATTCGAACTCTTACTCGAACTCTAGTTGCCATAGAACCGGCTGGAAGACATTCAGGTGCTTCACATCAATCCTTTTCGGTCCATGTTGCTGGCAGAGGAAGGCCGTTCGATGTCTTTTTTACGCTGGCGGCGTGTGGCTCAGCTGGACGCCCCCCGCGTACCGTACCCCATCTTGGTGACTTCGCACGAAACCCCTCAGTGCGCCGTTGCCATGGCCGCTCGCCAGCCTCGCACGGTGGACGCGTCCCATCGCGCGTGGTTGGGACGCGTCCCACGGAGGGTGGGAAGGAGGGTGGGAACGTATTTCCCCTGGTCTGCTGTAGAAAACGTTTTGGCCTTCATTGATCTGGAGACTGTAAAGCCACTATAATATGAGGACGCAGTTTTCCAAAAAGAATTGTTTTTTGGGGGTCCTTTACAACTGAACAGCCAAAGTGTTGGTTTGATGCAGCCTTTGGGGTGCAGCCATGCAATTTCTGATAAGACGTTTAGGACACGACATTATATAAATTTAGCTATTTACAGTATATTTGCCATGACATTTTTCATGTATCTTCATCTACATTCTATGATGCTTACCCTAGGCTTCCAACCATCATCAACTTTACAACAACATTGTTTTACTAAAGAAGTTTACACTACAACACCAGGTCGTTCCCCATTTTTATATGGTCTTGGAAGCCTAGGGCTTATAAACCTTAAGACTTGCATGTCTACAATGGTCCTAAGGTGTCTTATCATGGGCCAACCCGCCCACATATGTCGCCAGAGAAGCCTCCGGTCGCCAAGCTCCGCTCGGTGTCCTTGGTTCGAGGCTTTCTCCGCTTCCATGTTCTTCAAGCTCCTCGTCGCCAGCGTGCCGCTGGTGCGAGGACTTGTCCGAGAAGGAACTCAACAGGCCGGCAATTGGGACTCAACCGGCATGGATTTGGGGGGCCAAGAAGCTCGGTGCCTTCGACCCAATGATGCTTCACTTTAATCTCTCAGAGCCGCAGTTTACTCCAACTCAATGGTGTCAATGTTCACCCGGTTTGTTTTTTGCCATGTTCACCCACCCGTTACTTGCATCTTGCCCAAGTAATTGCTCACCCACGTTGATGTGCTCCATCCAGTGCCCATCTTCCGCCGCCATGCGACCGCACCAGCGCGAGGCTGGTCCAGTGGCAACCATCCCGCTGGACAAGCAGTGCGGCGCCACCGGGTCAAAGGACATGGCCAGCGGCCAGCTCTCCAGTGTCAACACTGACGTTGGAAAAAACAACAATAGAAACAATTGAAGACAGTTAGAGTTAGATGTTAGATGACACTGTCACTCGTACGTCAGTGAAAGAAAACCATCAAGATTAGATGTTCAGACGACACTGTGACACAGTCAGAGACCGATCACGTTGAGGCTGCCCTGTCACTTTCGTGGCTTAACAGATGCTCAATATGTTTCCTGCAAACACCAGACGAGGACCCCCCACTCACGAATTAACTTGCGCTTCGAAACAACTCCTTCCCAACCACTCCGTCCTACTATGTCCTACTACTTACTACTCCTTGTGTCGTTGTGCACTGGTTGACTCCAACGAAAAGCATTAGACATTTCCACATCTTCAAGATATAGTAGCGTCCGATCGCTCCGTTCGAGTCGCGATGCCCAGCTCCGTTCGTTGCGAACCTCTTGTTACGTTCGCATGCTACCGCGCCCCGTTCGCATCGCTGCGTCTATCGTCGAGCCCCCGAGCGAGGTACGTGCCGGTGATCCGGAACGAGAAGATCGTCTCCTACAAGACCGCCTACTTCGGCAAGATCCACCTGGGCGTCGCCAGGCGCCGAGCGCGGCGTGCGCGGCGTGCGCGGCACGAGTGCACCGTGTGACGCGGCGCGTGGTGTTGGCAAGCTGAATGGAGCAACATCCGGGGTGGGGTGTGATTCAAATTGACGCGAATGGATTCCTGTGATTGGACAAAGCAAAGCTTCCTGTTTGGTTTGAAGAGCATATACCTAACTAACAGCAGATCATAGTTACTTCCAGATCAAGCCACACTGGATCCAGGGACTTCACGCTCTTCTTGTCACGCCTTTTTTTCCATCAAAAGCCCACTGGTGATGAGTCCCATCCGGTCCGCATGCGTTCCGTTTCGGGGCTGGGTCCAGGCAACAGACCTTCACCGTGGTCTTTGACACGGGCGACTCGCTTGGGTGGTTGGGACGGGCTGGGACGGGCAGTTGTTGAGAGGCTCTATACCTTCTTCATCATGAAGACTCCCATCGGCAATCAAGACTCAATGATGTAGAAGTTGAGGGAGGATGTCCCAGTTCGACCCCTTCGGTGAAAGATCAGACATCCGTTTTTGAACTCCCAATGATTCAACGCCCCACGCCCCGATGCATTCGTCGGTCGGAAGCACCACTCGCGAGCGCTCGCGCCCACCCGTCCGGTGGAGCTCCGCGCCCAGCAAGGCAGCGCCCACTTGTTCGTGCCATCGGCCACCTGCCAGAGCCCTGCATGCCGCTCGGGGCGAAGAGAAAGCAGAAACAAGAAAGAGAGAGAGAGAGAGAGAGATGAAGGAAGGGGAGAAGGGAGAATCGGTGTGTTTTGTCTTTATTCTTTTGTTCGATGTGAGGTGACTAGAGATGTTTCTATATCACTTGGGATATCTAGCTGATCTGCTGTTTCCGGATGCCTTGCACAACAGGACTCCAACTTCTGAGGGACATTGGATTGAGAGCTGTACCGGATGTCCAAAATCATGGTAGACTGGAAGGTTTGATGCCTAGACAATCCATTGGATAATGCTCTCTTCATTTTGCAGCATCTTGGGCTATCCACCGATCCAATCTGCGACTTCATCCAAGCCCTTGGGCTTGAGATCCTTTATTTAAGACCCGTGTTTAGGCCATTGTGGATGAAAACGCAAGAAGTACCATCTCCTACGGGATAAAGTGGAACGGATTGAACATGAGGTTAGCAGCACGGACCATTCTAGATGAGGATCTACATGTGCACCCCTTGGAGTGCTAGTGCCGGCTAGATATCAACCTGCTCCTTGTCTCCCGTGCTGAGGCACTCGGCACCGCCAGTTCTACCGTGCCTGTTCGTGCAGACATTGCGTTGGGGAAGAGCGAGTCGGGGGAAAAGTGTGGATGGATTCAAAGCCCGAAAGGAGTGCTTTTGCCGAGACTTCCTGGAAGATCATGTCAAAACGCCGGATGTCGTTTGGAAATGCCATCAAATGCCTGATTCCTATGTTCTTTTTTTACACAGAATTCTACCGGTAACAAAACAGCACGACCCTTCAGCCATCTTCAGCCTTTTTTCATGGCGACCTTCTCAGATCGATGTCTCCTCCTTAACATCACGTGTCCCACCGCCACCTCCGTGTCCCACGCTCAGCGCCATGCGCCAAGCCATGCGCCGTTCGCCCTCGCCGCCGAGCGCCGAGGTAATGCGTCGGACTCGGCGGTGGACTTGGACCACGACGGGAACCCCGTGCAGAAGAACGCCACGCGGCGCGATCAGGTGAACATTGCCTTCGGCACCGGCGAGGCTGGAGGGGTGGAGATGGAAGGGGGGAGGGGTTCCTGGAGGGTGATTGAACATTCTATTGAGAATTTGTTATTCTTTTTTGTTTTTTTGACTGGTATTCTTTTTTCGGACAGAGCCGTTAGATGAATTTGATGATGCCACGGCAGTGGCGAATCATCACAGAGAGTTTCTTTGGTGCAGAAGAAAGGGTGGTGCGCCTTTTGGGATGGGAAGGTGCATGGGGGGTAGATGGATACGATGGATAGATCATGCGGGTGGGGAGTGAGTGGTGTTTGTTTTTGCTTGTGCAGATGGTCGTTGAGGGTAGATGTGGGAATAGGATGGAGGACCAAGGAGCCTGTTTATGGATCCGGGGTGAAGAGGTCCTCATAGAGTGAGCAGTGAGGAAGATCTGTCTTCAAAGAAGATGACCTTTCAGGTTCACAGTTGTGCCAAGATCCTGGCAGGATCATCAGTAGGATCATCCAACAAGGCTTGCCATCCTTCAATTTTCAACTCTTTCTTCGACTTTCGGTGTCTTCTTCAGGATCATCCCATTGCGATCTTGGGTTTTGACCGCGTGTGACTCTTGTTATACTCAGATTCTGACCGTTGTCGTCATGAGTCAATGAGATCGAGTCAATGAGATCATCCAAGTACCAACCATTACGACTTTGCTATCTTTCAACTCTCTCAGGACCCTCCACTCAACTGCCCATTCGATTTCATCCTCCACTCCACGTCTCTCTTCGAATCATCGCTTCTTTCGCTCGGAGGATCGGAGCCCACCGGCTCGCGTTCCGTTTTCACGGCGCGGTTCGTGGCGGCTCGGCGCGGTCCGTGGCGGCTCGCAGGTCACCGGAGAGTTTGTGCGAGAGACCGTCTGTTTGAGCCCTGGTGCGATGGACTCTCCACGCAAGGCCACTTGGCGAGCTGGGCGTTGAGGAGCTGTGGAACGAAGAACAGTGGGCCTTCCAAACCCTTTGGGGGGGAACTCTGTTGGCTGTTGGTTACATACCAAGGCTTACCAAGGGTTTTGAGGTATGTAACCTGTGGATGTTTCTTTGGGTAACACATATGCTGTGGTGAAGCTCTTGTGGCTGTGGGTTCAAAACAAAAGCATGGAAGGTTGATATCTCTGGCGGTCGATGTGGGGTCAAATGTTGGAATGTGCTGTGGGTCGTGTTTGGCCTTTCGTGCTGTGGAAGGCTTGAGAAGTTAAGAGAATTCAGCTTGCAAAGGGTCTTTGGTTTCGATCCATCTCCACGTCCTGGCCAAGAGTTCTTTTTGCAGGGTGCCTATAGTGCCCATCCTCTGAAACTAGTACTGTTGTGCAAGTTTCCAGGGTCTTCGAAGGATCGTTTTGGGCTGTTGGGGTGCCTGAGCGCTCACAAGCACCCAGCACCCAAACTGACAGGTCCTCCTGCAGCTTCCGCCAGCTTGGGGGGAAGAGAATCGGTGAAAGGCCAACACATCAAGTACTGGTATGTGTTTCAATTGTAGGACCTGTAGGACAACTCTTGATTATATAGATGGGGCACCCTTGGTTTCAGGGCACCCTGGGCCATCAAAGCGGGAGCCTTAATCTGGCTCAGTTGGCTTTCTCGACCTGAACAAGGAGGTTCCTTTTTCTTCCGGTTCCTTTCCGTGTTCCGCCCGACCATCTGATGACCTGCAGTGGCGATGTGAACTCATTCCCGGTTTGGTCTCCCCCCGCAGTGCTCGGTGCTGACTGGGACGATAGGAATGACAAGCCCACCACAGGGAACCAAACAGCCTCCGGGGGGCAGCACTCCGCAGCACACGGGGAGGGATCATCCTTTGTGGACGGCACGCGGAAACACGGTTGGGTAATACGTACTGCATGGAACTGCAAGGGTTCCAAGTTTCTTCAATCCTTATTTGATGCAAGACAAGAGAGATGTTCCCGGGTAAAGGTTACAAAGAGAATTGAAAACACTTTGAACCCTTCGATGGGACCCATTCCGTCGTTGATGCTTAAGATGTCAATGTGACCAGCTCACATCACCAACACCAACTTGTTCAACAAAGCGAGGCGCATGTTCGTGCTTGTGTAGTACTTATGGTTTGATCACGGGTTTGAACATCAACACCTTCTCCGCGCGCGTTTGGTGCGCAGAGTCTCCTTTCCTACTTGGGACTCCCCAAGTGTGGAACAACCTACCACAACCATTCATGGTGGACCCCCCAAATTCTCGTGGCTTTTGCATGGCCCTGGGCCCTCAAGAACTCGCCTCAGGACTGCACCGAGCTCCGTGTGATCTTGGCCAGTGAGATGACGAAGGACGCCCGGTCTGTGTGTGGGCGACGAAAGACCGGAACCCTGATGGGATGGTCAAAGATAGCCCAGATACTATGACGACTGGTGGGTTTGTGGTCGTGGTGAAAGGTAGGCGTGGTCTGGTTTGTTTGCTTATTACATGGGGAGCGTTTTTTTCAACTCGTGAAGACGCGTCGATTCGTTCGGGGTGTTTGTTCGGAGGGTCCCCGGACAGGGCAGAAGAGGTTTGAACTGAAGGAAGGGAAACAAAGGGCGATGTGGCCATGCATGCAGGGATCAAGGAATTCCAGTAGGGATAGGTATTAGTTATAGTTCTCCTAGGTTCCCAATTGATCTCTAGTGAGTGAGGTAAACAAAACGCTAACATAGACTAGATACTGTCTTGTGGGAGTTTGTGTTCTTTCAGTCAAGCCACTGGCATGAAGCTTCACTTAACAAAAGACCTCCACTCCACTCAACCAGCCAACAACATAACTCTTTCCGCATTTTTGTTGAACTCCACTGTGCCGAGATTTCGGCTCCACTGCCTCGTATCCCAGAGCGGGCTCTGGCTCGCATCTAGGAGCCCTTCATGACCTTCGAATTCGATGGCGTCCTGGGCTTGGGCCTCGCCAGCCTGGCTGTGGACCCCGAGTTCAGCCGCTCGCCGAGCAGCGAGTCGAGCGACAGCAGCGAGTCGAGCTCAGACTGGTGGAGCGGCGTTCTTGCTTTTTCGGTGTTGTTCGATTCTCAAATCGAAGACCAACGGTGGTTCTGTGTTTTTGTTTAAGTAGTTTTTTCATGTTTTTTCTTCTCTGGAGATCCAAATGACCTTGTTCGAGGGCCATCCACTGCCATGTGATGGAGGTCTTAATCAGAGTATCGCAGATCGTTTCCGTTGCTCGTTTTCGTATCACGTCGCTCTCACGTTCACCGACTTTGCGTCAGCTCTGAGGCTTCTTTGGGCAAATGTCCAAGTTGTGCTTCGGCTTTTCGATGGGAGTTATCATAGAAAACTGATTGATCATCAAAGATCAAGAGATTATGTTGTTTTTTTGTGCATTTAAACCCACCCAACTATGGTAATTATGTCATATCCCATGTTTGATTCGCATGTATCCTGAAAATCATTTGTAATCCATTTCCATTCATTACATCCCGTTGGCTCGTTTCCGGAACGACTTCGCCGAAGAAGGATGCTGTGGTGAACTGATGAACATCTCCAGCATGGGAGTTGATATGATTTGACGCATTGTGACAAGAAGCTACTAGGGGCTCCTGGCCTTACTACTAGTAACAATAAAGCTACTATGTTATTTTCCTTTTTCTTGAGCAATGTGACTGTCCTGGTTTTTCCGTATCAGGTCACTTGGTGATTCTCCCGAACTGGGCCAATCCTCTTCTGGGGACGAGGTTTAATTCTTTCCAGGCTCCTTAAACTAATCTAAGCAATGTGTGTGTTATTTTCTTTGAACATCCTTGCGTACACACTTTTTGTTATGCTGGAAGTGAGCTTGCAAAGAAGGGTGAGCCCTCCTAACCACAGCTGTGTACAATCAAGAAATACACTGGCCCTCAATTCATCACGAGTTCAAGAAGTACACCTGCTCCGGGTGTTTGATAGTGTTGGATTCTATATTTGGCAAAAGAAGATGTGACATGCTTGTGTGCAAGGAGATCGTAGTACTTTTGCTGAAACCTCAAAGACACACTAACTTCGATGGGAGGTAGGATCAGAAGCCAGCGATGCTTAATGTTCCTTCAGCTTACTGCATTTGTCCCTTTGAAGGCCATACATTCATCCAATGTGGGCTTTCCGTTTTGTTGGATTTGCAATGCATTTGGCGATGCGGCGATGGGCGAGGTGGAGGAAGGTGATTGAAAACAGTCTTGCCACGTGAAGGAGGAGCTCTGAACGATCCAGTAGCAGCCATCCCTTTGATAATGTCCTCGGGGATGTGTTTGCATGTCCCACCAAAATCATCGGGATGTCAACGATGCTGTATCGACGAACACACACCCGAATTTCTGATTGGTGCGACTCGTAGGGAATGAGGGAAGGGGAGATTCATTTGGATCCAGCCACCGTTATTCCCTACTAAGCACAAGTCGGTTTTGAACATGTGCGTGGAGCAAACAACAGTCTTACCAGTGGCATCGTCGTCCCTTTGATGATAGGAAGCAAGCACATAGGCTGCGTGTGAACACCTCCGTATCCTACGAAGGTCATGGAATATAAGTTGTTGTTTCTCCCACTACACCGGGTGTCCAAGCTTCTATCAGAGTGAACCGCCCCTCATTTTCAAGGGCCTTTGTTTGGCTGAGGAATGGCCTCAGAGAACAGACTTTTGGATACTTCTTATCACGGAGCGACAAGGCAGCTGTCGCATGTGGCAAGAACATTCGTGGCGGGATCACGCAATATTCATGGATCAGTTTTAGCTAGAAATGTTGCATCTTTGAATCGGTATCTAGAGTGATTCAAGAAGACTTTTCTGTGAATAGTCTATGATACTCTTCGGGTCAAAAAGAAGCCTCACATGAGCACCTTGTCACTTTCTTCCCTCTCCCAGTTCTTACCCCACAGAAGAGTGATTGGTCATCAGTCGTCAGAGTCTTTTTCGACAACCGATTCGGAACTCGCTGCCTGGAATCTCACAGGGATCTCCCTGGTGCACGAGTTCCGGAAATGGCCCACCCCCCACCCACACACGAATGGAGTAATGGAATGCAAAGTCGAGCTCTTTCGGAGCTCTTTCGGTAGCAGATTGGTGAACGATTGGTGGTGGCCAGTTTTCGAGGATTTGGCGACCGAAGCTCATCCGTCCAAGTTTGGAGGGTTTGGACTTGTTCTTCTTCTCTTCGCGGACAGTGAAAAAACCTTGTAGCTACAAGGCTAGAAAGAGATGCCACGTGTTTCCAACTGATAGTCCAAACCTATAAATCCTGGATCATCCAATGATGGTCCAAGTAACTGTAACTTGTCTATATCTCTATAAAGAGTTGTCCAGAACAACCAGATGAGTCCAAACCTATAGACAACCTATAGACAATCCAAACCTAATAGTCCATAGTAACTGGTCACTTCGGTGTGTTCCGGATCAGTCCGGGCGTTCCGAGAGAGGTGCCCAGTGAGATCTCCTTCGGAGGCGCGAAGCACGACCGGTGGAAAGCCACGGTGGGTGGTTTTCGGCTGGTTTTTGGGATGTCTGGAGGTTTTCCAGATGGTTTTCAGAAACAGTGTACTTGTTTTTCATTGGTTTTCCAGATGGTTTTTGAATGTAGGAGTTGCTGATGTGGAAGATGCATGGAAAACATATCCCAATGGCAATAGAAATGGTTCGTCCGATGCGCCGATGTCCGTGTCCCTCTATTCGAAGATGGCCACGAGTGCGGATGGTGATCCTTGAGAAGGCCACACGAAGCCCTGTTTGGGCATGACATAGACCCTCCCCAAACATGGCCATGGAGGACGTTTGGTTCTTCCTTGCGGGACCCGCTTGAAATTGGAAATAGGGGGAGCTATCACGTCAAGAACTTCCCAAGGATTCGAGGCGAAGACCAATTCTCGGCGTCCCAACAGCCACGGAAAGTCCTTTCAAAGTCTTTGAAGCGGAAATCTTGGGAGGTTTTAGGGTCGGAAATCCTTCGAAGTGTTTGAAACCTCCTAACCCTAGAAGTCCAAAGACTATTGTTTGACCGGATCAAGTAAAGGAAGTTCCCGAAGTCAGGTCCCCGTTCGTCAGACCATTCTTTAGTCGACTTGACTCCCAGGGCGATTTTGGATGGTTTGGGAGGGAAGAATCATAAACCAGGAGTCACAAAGGGGTGCTTAATGGAGGTTAGGAGTGCCCATTATGCACTCACTTAGGGACCAAACACCACCCCTTTGTGACTCCAAACCTTGCCAGCTTTGATTTCAGATCGCCGCCCCGCGGGCGGTTCCCGCCGTTTTCAGCTCGTGAGCTCGGTACACCCTGAACCAAAAAAGCAGAAATGAGGAACCTCATGTGGTTCTAAGCCAGCGCCATCCTAAATGGATATTTCAAATGTAAATGGATATTTCAAACTTGTTAGTGTACATACTTATCATACAGGTCATACATGTCATGATTTATGGTTCAAGCTGGCGCGCACTGGCCCACAGCTACTGTCATAAGCAACCAGGCAGTCTGTGCAGCCACTGGTT